TACAACGCCACTTCATCAATCCTTCCTAGTCGAAAACGCATTTCAGAATTTCGGTCAACATTTCACGATATCGGTCACGCACTGTAGGTATCGATTTTTTTCATCAACTAACTAATAATTACAGACTGCCGGAAAGAAGCTCGTTCAAAGGCCATTATCCTGGCATGACTTAAATATCTTATGGATATGTTACAACCACGCCTTATCAATTCTTCCTACTCGAAAGCACACTTCTGAACTTTGTGTGCATTCCATGACATCAGATAGCCGGACCATGTGTCGTGACACGAAAAACCGTTTCTAATCGTCCTCTTTGTTTAGCGGCTGACAGGTTAGGTATCGCCAAGGCTGAATTCGGCCATACGATGCAACTTGACGTGGTTCGCCCCCCCCCCCCACTAGTCCATGGGCCGCCCATTGGCGTGTGGTCTGCAAAAAGTTCTCCATGGACTGGTGTCAATTTGGTATTGTGTCGGTGTCTATCGCGGGTAGAATTTAAAAAATTGGAGTATTGTGACGAAAAAGTGCTCTTGAAAATTGTGTCAAAGTTTTTTGCAGGTCGTTGTTTTTGGAATAAAAGAAAACGACTTTTCATGTCACTACACACGGTCTATGTCCATTTGATGTTGCGGATTAAGCCTCGAATGCATCACTAGAAGACAGAAGGAGATAGAAACAGCAAACATGAATTCCTTAATGTCGTTTTACGTGTTGCTTCGAAGGGACATTTTATGCCTCTGAGAGTCCTGCGAACTGCCCGGATGAGCGACTTACTCAAGCAGATCCCTCAAAAAGCGTCTAAGTAACGGCATCTATCTAAGCAAAATGTATTTCAGACCAACTAAGGATCTCGCTGCGTTATTTTCTCTGAATTTGCTATCTTATTTAGGTGAAGAAGTTGTCCTACTGTGATCGTCGTGAGTGGTTGAAAATATGCACGATGGCAAGCTAACATAAACCCTAGTGTTGTAATTGTTCCGTGCAGTTTTTTTGGATACAGTTAATTGCCCAATATTTACGCGCTGCTAACTACCTGTTGGTAGCCTCTGTTAACTCAGTGGTTAGTCCGTTAAAATTGACGGATCGCAACCCGTCCTGAAAACCTTTCTCCGAGTTCACACAACAAGTTCCAATAAATTTGAAAATCCTCACAGTTCTCCTTTTGTTCACAAACATCTCTGGAGCACCGAATATCGAGTTTTTCAAATGGTGCTTTTCCATTCCGAGAGGACACTTGCCTCTCAGCCGCGTGGGCAATAAACCCTACAGTTTGGATATTGCGGGCTTGCCCACCAACTGATGATGGAGCGAGAGAGAGCAGATTCTAATTCTCGCTTTTTCGACCCAGAGACAGCCAGCGAGGATCAGTCCCGTTCTTGTGTTGGCCGCAGCAACCTGCAGTTCCTACGGCCTCGGGTGATTAGACTTTGTCAACTTACGCAGCATATTTCGCCGCTTCACGCCGTAGCATGAATGCTAAGCCATTCATTAGCGCAGCTGACCACTTAGATCCATGCAATCACTATGGCTAAGTCGGCATCTTATCTCTTAAACTCTGCTCCTGCTCCTCCCACCCCGCCAACTCAAGATCTGTGGGATCCCCCCTTCTCTTCTGCCACCCTCCCCTCCCACCAGCGAGTCAAGAGGCCTGGCACTTATGCAAATTAACCTGTCGAAGGTGTCCCCGCAGTCAACTCTCAGTTAAGCCGGAGCAGTTTACAAGATTGCCTTGTCGTCTGGCGTGGCAGTCTTGAATAAGTCACATTGGGATGCTCGGCGCAAACAAGCTGTCCAGGGGAGGAAAGAGGAGGAGGAGGAGGAGGAGGAGGAGGAGGAGGAGGAGGGAGGTGACAGGCCCTGGCCCAAAGACTCCCTTGCACATGGCTATGGGCTTGATCGTTCGGGTGCCTAAAGATTTCTACCGAGGGAAATCTTTATTGTGAGTGTGAACCCATAGCCTTCCCCCCGCTGTGTTTATTCGTCTGTATCCGATTCCTCTTGTCTTTGAGTGCCAGTGGGACTAAACTAACTGCCCTAGTTCGATTGCAGGGAGCTAGACCCCCCCGTTCTTCCACGGAAATCTGACTCAAATTAATGGTCGACACTGTGATATGACTGAAAGTGTCCAGTATGCCGAGGCTCTCTTGGTATTAATAGTCCCCAGAGTCAAATGAATCGCGGGAATCACATCTGCTTCCGCTGAAAATCACACGATTGTCCAGTTCACGGAAAATCCGGGAGCAGGCCTAATTTGCAACCTTAGAATTACGCGAAAAGCGAATCTTTACTCAGCGAAGGCCCTGTGTAAGTGGCAATCCAGCAAACATGGTTAAAACCATGCGGACAGACGACGGGTAGTGAAGTCGCGCGTTTGGTTGTCGCTTGTTGTCATCATTCCAGATATCATTCGGTTGGAAACACTACGCACCTGAGCGGATTCCCAGAAAGCGTTGCGATGTTATTCCCGGTTTACCTCTTGGTTTTACTAAGACCGAACAAACCCCTCTAGGCGGGTCTGTAGGGTTTAAAGAACATGTGATTGGTATTTTACGGTTTTCGAGAAAGGAAACTTCGATTACCATAAGACCCTGATGAAAAAAATACGGGCGTTTGGTTGGCTAACTGAAACAGAACGTCCTGGCGTTTAGAAACCTAAGTTACTTTTTTCGCAGTTTTAACAAAACCGAGCGTTTGGGGTTTTAGCCATGATGAAGTACAGCCTATGCGTTGCGACAATTTCGTATTTGACTGAACGTAGCTAAATCAAAAATAATGCCTACTACCTTAATTTAAGTAACTGTCCATTGTTCCGCACCAGAGGTACCTCCGGGCAGTCGGGCCAGCACCTTAACCGGTCGAAAACGCCGCAGCCTAACATCGACAGACTTGTCAGAGCTTATCGTATCCACGAGTTATCTCATGAAACTAACCTTCTAGATGAGTTAAAATAGACTGTAAGGAAGCGGTCGGCATGAACCGAATTCATTGTCAGGCAAACACCATTCATCCCATCTAGTTAACACCTCGTCATCAAGCGCAAGATTTGAGGGATACAAAATGTGGCTTTGGAGGGTACGATCGAGAAAAAGTCGAAGTCAACAATCCCAGATGACCGACATTCGTAGATGATACAAGCGGTAGCTCCTGTAAACTCGTCACAAAGCGCCTGCACAGACGCTAACCCCACTGAACAATAAAGGAACTAATCACTCCCTTGTCGACAGAAGAGGGGAGGTGAGTTCTGGGAGACAGTCCAGAGACCGTTACTGACGATGGGCTCCTGTGACGAACCGAACCCGTTTCTGTTTTTTTGTCTCTGACGATGGATTCGAGTAGGAAGCCGAAACGTCAGGCTAATAAAGCTCTTGTCCCGGCGATCGTGCCTCCTTCTTCAAGACTACTTCCTGGGACTCGTCTCTTCGCTTCTATTGACGAACCGAACCGTCAGGCAAATAATCGTCTTGCCCCAACGACCACATCTAGTCCTTCTGAACTCGCTGTCATCAAACCCAGAAACTCTTTTTATATTTCACCATCCGATTCCGACTCTTACAGCTTGTGCCCTCATTCCTTGCCTCTAACACCCCCGCTAATGTATGCGGTAGTCCATATTGAGCATTACCGTCTAGCCCTTACTAGCCGCCCAAGAGCCACTATGAGCTGGCCTTACCTATTCAACCGTCTTTTTCTAATGGTTTGTTCATAGCAATGGATGAAGACCGGAACTATTCTGACAGCGCAGTCCTCTCCTATCGTCTCAACAGCAGGGTCAGGTTAGGACTGTGGATAGACGTGGATGCACAGAACTGGCAGAGCTAAATAATCTGCCTACATGTACCCCACGAGACTTGGTTCCTAACTCTACACCATCTCGGATTGGCCATAAAATTACAGGACCAACGCGGCCCTGAGAACTGGGTTGGCCCGTCGATTGGCTGTCTACCAAGCTCCAAAAATTGGTGGGTTGCAACAACTCCGGAGCATGTTTGGTAGTTTATTGTGAGACGAAGCGCTGCATGCCAGGTGAACAGACCTCAGACTTCGTTGTCGTCTAATTACTTAGTCTGATTGGCAGTTGAGATTGGCGCAGTGGCCGGCGCGACGTAGTCACCGTATCATGCGCGTCTGAGATGAGTTGAGATCCCGCATACTTGAGGGCATTTCAGGAGAAAACCATCGCAGTCGGGTGCTCATTCCAAGAGATAAATTTAACCAGTCAACTGGCAACCCCTAAAATGGCTTTTAGCGTGTAGCAATAATCCCAGTCGCGTTACACCTATTGCGGTGAGAAATGCTCTGGATTCTCGAGTTTGTCCTAGTGATAGAATGGTATTAACTAGAAAGTTAGAGGCTGACCGGCAGTCAACTAGGAAAGCGAAACCTGAAACCTTCCGGCAGGAGCCGAAATTGTCATATGTGGCCAACTTTTAACGATTGGGTAGCCGCGCATAAAATGCTGGGGACTCAAACTTGAGCCATTTGTTTCAGAGATGGGTCGAACCCCCCTGAGATACAGTCCCCGCTGCGTTGAATACGATATGGTATAGTCATGCAGGGAACTTTAAATGGCTAACGGTACGTGTCCCAGAGACAAAAACCACGCGCTTGTTTGGCGCTGCATATTGCTTCACGACAATAGTCCACATGGCAATGCAAAGTTCAGGTGGAAATACATTACTGGAATCCTGCCTTAATTGTGGGCTGGGATCTCCATTGCCGGCAAATAGCTTGCTGGCCAGCATCAAATGCGAAAGAGTATAAATAGAAAAACTACCCGTCCGATCGCCCCTATTAAGCACATACTAAGACGAGCGGTTGTTCCGACACTAGTTATGTACAGCTTTTGCAATAAAAGGTGGGTCGGAAAACGCAGGACTGTGGTAATGAGCCATAAAAAGAAAAAAGAATATACACTCATGGTAAAATCATAAAAACAGTCGGAGTGGGACGGGCAGATGTAGGAAATAAAACACAGCCAATGAGAGAAAGATGAAAGGCAATTAGGGCATAACTTCAGTTTTCGCCGCTTTTTGGGCTAATGTTGGAACAGGTTTCTTTAGCCTTTCCTTCTCCCCATTCACGTACGCCTCACCGACTCGGTCGACTATTTCGTCATCGGGCACTTCATCAACAAGATACTCGATTGACTGGGTAGGACGGGGAGTTGGATCCACATGCACCATGACTTCGGAGGCGCCCGCAAGTCTCTGATCTTGGGTGGTTCGGTACACGGACTTGGAGTATTGTTCGGCTTGTTCGAGAGTAATTGTAAGTTTGGCGAGGCTCGCTTTGTATCGCATGATTTCGTCTAGCATACGACAGCGCTGGCGAAGGATGTTTAATTCAGCATCACGACGTTTAATGTCCGATTCTAGGCACCGGATAGTTGATCCATATTCTTTAACTTTCGCAGAGAGGGAGGCTGTTTCTTGATCCCGCAGCTGATGCAGTTCCTAATAATAATGATAATAATAATAATGCTGCCGACAACGTGCACAACAGAAAGTGCAAGTGACATCAGTTAATGGATGATGTAGGAACGCACTGAAAAATGTGCTGGACAAGCCGGAAAATTCACGCTTTGCAAATGCCACAATATAATACAGGGTAGCATTTTATTTCCTAAGACCACAAATACATAAGGGCAGAAGCCCTAGTGTTATTGATGTTTGTAATAAACACTTACCTTCTGAGAAAAGAGTAACGATTATCGTGGCTGCTCGAGGTCTCATTACGGTATCAGAGCGGCCTCCAGTCTTACACCGTTAGTCCATTCCAACAAAAGTCTTAGGACACAACGTGAGAGCAAGCAACAATTTCACCTATTTACGCGGCAATACCATCTGAACGGAATGCCACTCCGAGAAGCAGAAACTCAGAAAGATCTCGGAGTTTGGGTTGCAGACAGCCTTAAGCCTTCTACACAATGCCGTAAGGCGGCCAAGGCCGCAACCTCAATGCTATATGCCATCAAGCAGGCATTCGTAGTTTTCGATGAAGACTGCTTCACCAAAGTCTTCGGCACGTTTATAAGGCCCCATCTCGAATATGCAATTCAGGCCTGGAGACCGTGGACGCATCAGGATTACGATTTGCTCGAAAGGGTGCAGAGGCGAGCCACAAAATTAGTAAGAGGTCAAAGTGCACTGCCATACGAGATCCGCTTAACTAACCTTAATCTCTATCCTCTGAGTTATAAGCAGTTGCGCGGAGACATGATACAAACTTTCCGTATAGTGCGCGGCTTGGATTTTGCCCTTCGGCGCGATGACTTTTTCCAACTCGCCACTACAACTCACCTCCGGGGACATCCCTTCAAGCTACGTGTGCCACAGGGTAGACTGAATGTGAGAAAATATTTCTTCTCCAACCGTGTCGTGGAACCGTGGAATAACCTGCCCGAGACGGTTGTTATGTCTCAATCTGTGGAGACATTTAAATGTCGCCTTGACAGATATATGCTGCAGCAACAAGCGGACAATGTGACTTTTTAGCCATATGACTAGTGACATGTGTGAATCAATGTATGCATTCACTTAATGCTGTAATTTCTTCACATTTTTGCATGTTTATCGATTTTTTATGTATAAATAGGGAGTTCAAAGGCGTAAGCCTATTTCCCTCAAATACACTGACTGACTGACCTAAGGTCCCGAGTGTTTGTTCTATTCCGCGGTTCAAAAGCCTTGTTTCCGACTTTCACACGCGATAACAGTTGCCCCATAAGTACTTTCTAAACTAGTCCAGTCCAGAGGTCTACTTAGACGTTAAAAGGCGGGTATAAAATGCCAACATAATGATAATCTACTAAGGATTACGGAAAATGCATGCATAAATAAAGCGGAGCATATGCCCGATAACTAGTCCGATAAGATGGAATGAGCAACGCCAAGGCTTGAAAACCTTAACACCTGCAATGTGTCCTAATTATACCACTCCAGACGATCATATTCGACATAAAAACTCTATCATTTTAGCAAATATTCGAGAGCACACCTTGACAGATTGCGTATAAACTTCATCCCTTCGTTCCATTTCTGCCTTTTGTTCCTCTAATGCCGCCTCCAACTCCTCTATCCTTTTAGCCAGAGCATCTAAATGCTTGTTGGCCTCCTCAATGTTTGTTTTGTAGGCAGAATCACCACCACCACCTCCCAGGAGCCACATAGCGGAATGTGAATGCTCTGTAGCAATGGCCGTTCACCTAAGGCGGCTCTATTTCAGATCATATGAACAAGCATCCCACGGGCCAGTACTGAGATAACTTAAATCCTTCAGAAAATACGTAATTCTTGTCAAAATAATATAACTACAAAGCCAATATGAGTCCTTGGGTGTTTGAAAGGAACTTGTAAGGATTCGGATGGAGTGGGTACGTCGCACATGAAAAGGAACTGAATCATAGACAACAAAATGGACGGATAGAAAAATAGTCAGACAGAGACATGACGGTGCATAAAAGCATACCGGAAAGCTATGATATGAGGGTGAAATTCGGACACAGACAGAGGTAGTCATAAAACAATAAATATGCCGTTGCAAATGTGAGTGCAAACAAATGGACGTATTTACCAAAATATCAAGCGACAAATCTTATGTCCAGAACCAAGATGTGATACGCATCTTCCTGGTACTATCCCGGATTTTGTTAGAAAATGGCGCACAATTTAAATCCTTGTCTGTTCACGATAATTAGCATTGAGTAGAAAAGTGTCCCAGGCTGCAAAAAGCGCTTAATTCGACATAAGCTGGACTACAGCAACAAGTTAAACATTTCTGTCCGCAAATTTTAATTTAGGAGCGGTCTTCTGTCTCCTTAATATTACCTTCGAGTATCTGTTACGACAGTGTTACGGTTTTGATTCTCGCGATTTTGTTTCCTCGTCATTTTGTTTGTCCAACTTTTTACAGACATTTCGTGTCAGCTTCGTTTGACTTTTGCTTTTTTATTTTGTGACTTACGAGCACTGGACTTTAAGCGCAATAAAATCCAAATATTCATTTGACGGAGAACTCTAATAAGCACAAAATAACGCAGTTTTTCCCCGATTTCGTTAGTGATTGAACAACACACACAGCCTACTTTCCCATACTGTTCTAGAACAAGTGACGCAAATCCAAGAGACACTGAACTTCCCATCATGTCCAATAGTTAGTAACCAATCTTCCCAACCTCCGGTCTATCGCGTTAATCAATAATAAAATTATTAATTGGTTTTTCGGTACAGTTGGCAAAGTTATTTGACTCCATTATGAGAACACCGGCGACCTGAATGGGATTCAAATATACGACAGCAAGAACCTTGCTTGAGTGCAGCAAACATTTTCATCTCGTTAACCGCAAGGTCCCACTGGGGACCGTGTGTTTAATCCCGTCTAGGTTATGATACCCGCCCAGCCTACTACAACGCATGGGATCCACAGACTCCGATAAAGCAAGCTGACTGTCTAAGCAGAACTTGCTGGCAATTAACCTTAAATCCACCCAAAAACTAACAGGCATAGATAATTAATTGGTGTTTTTGGCAGACTTGAATAATTCATTTATTCCGCCTGTGGCCTCGGTGGAATTCGAACTCACAACAGTAAGGACGTGGATGAAGTAGAGCTTGCATACACAGTCAGCTGATTATATTAGAAATGGCGTATTCCATACATTGCTGTAGGCTGAGCAGGTAACTGGATAAAAATGTAACTTAACTAGCGGTTCACGGTGGGGCCTCGTAGGTCATGTGGCTAGAGCGTCGGTTGTACTAAAGCCTTCTGCTTGCTCTCGTAGTTTCGAATACCATCAAGATCGCTAAGCTTGTCATGGTTGAATCAAAACATATTTAAACTTCGCTAAAACACCTAATAATCACTCGTGTTATTTAGAAATCTGGTAGATTCGACATGGATTACATAGCAAATCCTTCTTAGGCGCTGTTTGAATCCGACTGCATTTTTCTCGTCTTCCTGAATTTGTATATAGATAGATAGATAGATAATTTTTATTAAAGACCCGTCGGAGTCCCATCAAAGCAAGTTAAAATAAATTTGCATGCAAGTTTTAGACGAGGTAGGCCGAATCTTTACAAAATTCAATTCCTAGTTTCTAAATTAGAAGTCCAATGAGAAACATAATGATTGAGGGGTGAAAAAAAACTCCTTACAAAAAGTTAAAAATGTTTGGATTAATTTTACAGGAGAAAAAAACCCCTCTTTGAAAATAATAACAGAAAAAAGCGAGCAGGACTGGCCTGTAGGTGGCGGTATATAACGGAATGTTGTCGGTCATCGTCAGGGTATCAATAAATGTCCGCCTTGATGGGTACGAATGTGGGTCAGACAGGACTGGCTTGCAAATGGCATTGTATACGGGATTCACAATTGAGATCGTCTGGGCCTGATTGGTACGCCGCGTCAAAGAGGCCAGATGAGAGGAACCGAGATGCGATCGGCCACAGCACGCTTCGAGCTCAGCCGAGCAGTGAGGAAGGGAGGTACGATCGAACTACTAGTAAACAGTGAAGACTGAGGGTTCCGCCGTGAGTGTCGACAGACCGCATGAGGCCGGAATGTGGGAGCTGACATCAAAAACCGCGAAAATTGTCGCTATGGGGGGGAAGGATAGCGATGGATTTAGAAACCAATTCAAAACAGGGGTTTCTAATGATATAATTAAGAGTTACCACTTAATCTACCACTAAATCCCAGGAGGACCCTTATCGAAGTCAAGAATCTGAGTGTTCGGGAATGAGACCGTTAACAGTGCCTTTATGCTTTCCGGTGTAAGATGGTTGCGTAATTTCGACTAGAATATCAGTAACCTAGGCGATAATCTAATTTCAGGCGGAAGATTATTCCAAAGGAAGGCATATTTGGAAGCAAAGAAGAGGGAGCGCTTAGATGTAGTACAAAGAGGCGGCGGAATCACCATGCAGGAGTTGCGCGTGGC